TGTGTGTGGATGGGACAGTGTGTTTACATGTGTGTACGGGCCAAAGGACAGCGTTGGTCAGGTGCCTCGGACACTGTCCACCTTTTTATTCTTGAGACAGAGTCACACACACACACACACATACACCTGCCTCACCACTTCCCTGAAAACACTGTAAACAAGTTATGGCAGGGTGGTTGGGGAGGGGGTGGCAGGTGAGTATGCAGTCTGTGTGGGGAGGTCAGAGGTCAATGTTTTAGGAGTTGGTTCTCCTTCTGTCTTGTGTTTGAGGCAGGTTCTCTTTTGTGTCTGCTGCTGCTATCTGGCCCTGGACATCCCTGGTAATTCCTTGAGACAGGGTCCTCCACTGGCCAAGAACTCACCAGGAGGCTAGGCTGGCTGGACTCTTTTTTTCTCACATGTGTTCTGGGAACCCAACTGAGGTCCCCTTGTTTATGAGGCAAGCACTCTACCAACAGCTGGCTTCTGAGCCTAACTTTAAGCCTAATTTTAGGACTCATCGGCTATCTGTAGGTCCAAGTGAAAGGTCAGGACAAACAGCAAAAGCAGCCAGTATGTCCTCCTTACAAGACTGGAAATAGGTCCCCTGCTTCCCTCTGATTTTTCTTTTATTGTTTTTAATCGAAAACAGAGTCTTCTCTCGTATAATACATCCCGACCACAGTCCCCTCCCTCCACTCCTCCCAGCCTGCTTCCCTGCCTCCCCTCTCCCCCATCCACTCCTCTTCCACGTCCCTTCAGAAAAGAGCAGGCCTCCAAGAGACCGCAACCAAACATGATAAAACAGAACACGGTAAGACACGTCAACAGCCCTCACACCGAGTCCGCCTCCGTTCTTACCCAGCTGTCTCCCATCTCCCTCTTCGTCTTTCTCCTTTTTAAAATGTCTGCTCGTGACAAATATGTGCATTTGGAAACATGAGGTTTGGTGGTGGTTTTTTGTTTTGTTTTAATTTTATCATAAATGCCAAGATTTTTTTTCTCTCTCACACAAAAATAATAGCCAAGCAAAAGCAAAGAGGAGTTTGTCAGGCTGGCTGCCGGCTTCCAGCTAAGATGGAATTTCCTTCTCACCGCTGTGAGCAAAGCCATGACCTTGAGCCACAGAGACAGTTTTGGTAAGTTCAAGACTTGGAGACATGTTTGAGGTGTCAGTATGGCACTGGTGGGAATAGACTCCACGAGACAACACTTGCTTAATGTGTACAAGGCCCTGAGTTCAAGCCCTAACACTGAAAAGCAAAGACATAATAAGGCTGTAGATAAATGTTTTATTAGATAAATATTAGTAAATAGATATGTGATAAGATAAATAACAAATAAGAGGAATGTTACCATGGTACAAATTTGACGGTTGCCGTGTGGAATCTACTCATCCTAATCTTAATATTTTAAATAACGTGCAGCATAGACACAGAAAACCGTGGCTATCCGTTTGCTGGTGGCGAGGAGATTGTCCATTGAGTAAATGGACTGTGTGTCATTCTCGTTCCCTCCCAGCTGGACACGGAGAAAGACTATCCCTGCTTTTGGGTCATAAACTGGGACATTCTAAGTGCTCAGAGATGGAGGGGAAATGCGTTCTTTGGAGCACTGTTTTTAACTGTTAGGAAGAGCCACTGATGAAGCCACCACTGTGTGCCAGTGACAGAAGAACGGAGTGCCGCTGCAGATTTCCTGGTCGATAACTGGTCTTCCTCCATCGAGGAAGCCAGCCGCGTCACTGATGAGGATGAACATATAGGAGTTTTGGGGAAGGGCTTTTTGTTTTTCAGTTTCCTGGGATGAAATCAGTGAAAGGGTATCTCTTTTTTCCCCTCTGCCTGCAACGTCCAGGGCACTTTCATGGGCACTGGGCAGATGGCATATCAACTTCCGTGGATTTAGAGTCTCCTAGGAGATTGGTGAGGTGCACCTCCTGGTGTGTCTGTGGAGACGTTTCCAGAGTAAACTACCTGAGGGAGGATGACTCACCTTAAAAGCGTGTGGTGTGTCTCCCACCACTGAGGGTTTGACTGAGCAGAGGGGAGAGGGGAGTCTGTGCGTTATGGTGTGAACTGCTCCACCATGCCTTTCCTAGCATGATGGAGTGACCCCTCTGAAACCGGGAGCCAAACCCTCCCTCCCCTAGGCTGCCTCTGCCAGGTGCTTAGGCCCGCTATGGATAACTAATACAACAGACTAAGCCACTCTTACAACCCACGCAATAGGCAGAGCTGGCCTTGCCCCACATAGCTGCCAGGTGCCCTGGCCCCACATAGACAGAGCAGGGAGAAGGCACCCCGTTTTCCAGATCCGCTTGCAAACACCCTGTAGCTCTTTGGAAGATTGCTGCTGGAGGTAGCCATGTGGGTGACACCCATTTTTAATGAGGCACTCCCTTCTAATGAGCTCCAGACTTTATGCAAACACTCATCCCAAGCAAAGAGGTAGCGTAAGGCCAACGTGTGAACCCAGAAGAATGCCCAGTTCTGATCCTCTCCCCGTCTCCCCTCCCTGCCTGTCATTCAGAGTCAGAGCATTCACACCAGCTGTTTCCCCTCTTCCTGTAGACTGTAGTCTCTTCAAGGTTTGTTAGGCTGGGCATCGCAGAACAAGTTTAATATAGACAAGTCAGCAACTGTCCCACGGGCAGTGTCCAACCCCCTGCATCCACCAAGGATGGGTGAACACTGGATAGGGAGAATCGTGGAAGCTTTGAAACGGACAAAAGCCTTACCTGATGTGGACAGAAGATCTAAGAAGATGGAGTCCATGCTTCTGGAATATACTTTCACCATTTTTCACCTCTGTCAACTGCAGTCAGCTGAAACCCCTAATGATTCCCACTCACACAGGCGCGCATTGATGGTGTCCTCGTGTGAAACTGATCACCGCCCAGAGAACAGATCACATCTGCGTCTATTTGTGAAACACCTCATCACCAGTCCCCTCTGCTGCCCTGTGCTTAGTAATCCCCATTCTCCTTCCATCCATCTGCAACATCTCCCTCATCCTCTCTCTCCCCAACGACTTAAATAAATCACATCCGAGCCACAGTTTTGCCTTTGTTTAAGAAGTATCTTTAAAGATTGCACAGGCCAGATCTCCCATTCTGTTTCTTGGGCAGACATCAAGGGCAGACTTCTCTCTGGGAGAGCAGAAGTGATAGCACCCACCCCTCTATGGAGTACTTTTCTCCTGCCTCACACCACATGGGTTTTAAGTTCTTTCTTATGAAGTCAGCTCTAGCCTTCGGCTCTCTCTCTCTGAGGGCTGACCTGCAGGGTTCCTTGCCTGTGGATTGTTGCTAGAATCAAAGGTCCTTTGCCACCAGCCACCCCAGCCATTCAGTTGATTCTCTGGCAGCAAGGAATTAAAAGCCATCTGTTTGGTGGAGATTGACTAATGCCTGTCTGTCCGCCGTCTATCATATGTATTCATTTTTAAATTTTATGATGTTTTTTAAATGTAGGCGCCTGGCATCTGTTTCACTTGCTGCTTTTGGAATATGTGATTCACATACTGGAGTCGTGCGTAGAGGAAGAAGAGGAAGAAGAAGACCTGGGGAGTCTCCAGGACTTGCTGTCAGATGACCAGTTTCTCGCCCAGCCGGACCAGGCCCTTTTCCACCCTCTGGATACTTTGCCAACATCGGAATGCACGAGCCGGAGTGTGGAGTCACCTCAGGTGACGCTGAAACACATGAGCCAGAGCTGCAGTCCCATGGGTGTGAGCAGCATGGTTCTCCAGGTGCTGGGCTTCCTGGTGGACACCGCCACAGGCAATAAGGTAGACACACAGAGAGAGAGAGAGAGAGAGAGAGAGAGAGAGAGAGAGAGAGAGAGAGAGAGAAGGGGGCAGGCAGACAGGCAGACTGAGTTAGTAAAAATACATAATACTTCGGAAACTCATAAAGATCACACAGACTGAACAGTGCCGAGGGGTTCCAGAACTCTCTCTCAGTTGTGGTCGTTTTGTCAAGGGCAGTTGTGACAGCCTGTCTGGCTCTTGCTGGTCAGCCCAGGCGTGACGGCAGTGGCATGCCTGGTGTTAGGAGAAAGGTGGGTCTGCCTCCACAGTGCTCACACGGTGTGACTAAGCTGTGAGTGCCGTTGTCTCCCCGAGCCCCCCCACTGTCCGTCTTCCATCTCACTGATGAAGGGATTTCGAGACGGAGATGGGAAATGGAGACTGTATTGCAGTTACAAGGAATGAGGGCGTTCTGAGCTCGGTGGTAAGATAGGGGGTGGGAGTCTCGAGGTCTGAAACATATATTCTATTAAAAAAAAAAAAAAGTAGAAAAGATGCCGCAGGGAGCAATAAAGCTTCCTGAGGCAGAGAAAGGACCGCGGCCCATAGACTGGTCCCTCGTCGTCGTTTTTATTAAGGGAGCAGAGGATTCCCTTCCTCCCAGGTGGTGTGGGGCTTGGGCATGAAAATGGATTCCATCATTCCGACCAGCCACAGAGGAAGTATTTTACCACAGTATTTTTTGTTTTAGCCTGTGTGGCCGAGAACCCAGAGTGTGTCTAAGACAGGGGTGAATAATGTCTAACTTTACCTTTTAGCCTTGGTTGCTCAGCACCAGGAAGGACTCACTAGTCATATTTACCCTTAAGCTCTGTATCAGGTGTGAAGCCCCTGCCATTGGCCCGTCTTTAATGTTGCCATTAGGTACAGGCAGTCTGTGGATCTTTATCATTTGCAGACAGGCTGGTGCAGAGTTTATTCTAATTTATAATCTAGCTATGGAAGGCCAGCGCTGGAGATTTCCCATTGTGGCACTTGAAATCTACCCCTTAATAATATTGATGATGATGATGATGATGATGATGATGATGATGATAGTTATTATCCTGGTGTATGTATGTGTATGAATGTGTGTATGTTTGCATGTTCTTATGGATGGGTACATGTGCACAGGTGTGTGTGTGTGTGTGTGTGTGTGTGTGTGTGTGTAGGCCACAAGTTAACTTCAGGTGACGTTTCTCAGAGCTGTCTACCTTTATTTTGAGACAGGGTATCTCATTGAGACCTGGGTCTTGCTGATTCAGCTAGGCTGGCGGGGGGGGGGGGGTGTCCTCCTGTCTCCACCTCCCCATGCCTAGAATTACAACAGTGTGCCACTGATCCTTTCATAGGACTCACCTAAGCCCATCAGAAATATCAGATATTTCTATTACGATTCATAACAGTGGTCAAAGGAGTCAGCCTGATGCAATGTGTGTCCCTAAGAGAGCAGCCTTCTCCTGTGTGAGTGAATGTAATCAGAGAGCCAAGAAGTAATGAATATAGACCCAAGTCAGACACCTGACTACCGTGGAAGCTGGGCCTCAGATGAGGAAGCTCTAGAACCAGTGTCCCAGGAACATCGACAGAAAGGAGCCCCAGACCTCTGTGAAGAAGGCTATACCAAGAGAATGACTCTCCCTGGACAATGACCTTCTGGAAAGTCTATGCAGGCCCATCTGAGCCTATTCTAGAGATTCTGTAGAACCCAGTGGGACCACCAGCATTAGTGCTGGGCTGTAGTAGTCAGCTTCCGGGAAGAGTGTGTGCTGCAGCATGAGAATTTGTTAAAGAAAAAATGGATCATTCAGTGATATTGATTAAAAAGTGATGAGGAACACTTTGTTCAAAACCACTGTGGTGGGTACAAGGACCACTGAACAGGGTCTTGCTCAACTCCAAAAGCATGGAGACAATAGATGAGGATCAAGGAGCAGTCAGTGAATGGAAATCACTAAGAGGGGACATCAGACGTCAGAAGGGTTCTGGGTAGATCAGCTTGGTAGGATTGTCCCTGAAGATAGACCATGGCGACCCTCTTTATTCCGGGGAATGGTGAAGGGTGAGGAACCATATATAGAGGGTGATAGAGTATCAAGGGTGGTAGGATCTCCCCCAAATTTTAAGTGCATAGATGGTTCTAGAAGTAGTTTCAAAGTTAAGTTTGGCCAGGCAGAGAAGAATCATGTCAAAGTTTGGCTGCTCACTCTTAGCCAGCAAGGTGAACGGTGACCTTTCACCTCCTGAGCCACCATTGAACAGAATGGAGAACAGGCATGGATAATCACTCAGCTGTATGAGAAAGATGATGTCACCAGCTGTGTGTTACATGTGAGATAACTGAGGCGTGTGAATGGAGGAGAGATTTTTCCCAAGGTCACCTCACTGAGAACTGGCAGAGTGCAGGGTTCACACCCTTTCCCAGGCTGAGCCTTCCACTGATGGGATTAATTCTAAATTCAGTGACTTGATAAGTGTGTGATTCGTGCACATAAATTCCAGAATTTCGCCTCTTCACCTGTTACCTGAGAAACCAGAGCAAGCAGCTTTATTCCATAGGACTATAAAGTTTCAATAAGCCAATCACTGGAAAATGCTTAGAAAATTCCTTAGACTGCAGTCCAACCAACCACTAGTTATTAATTGTCATTTTCCCATCAAGCTTCCTGCTCTGAGCGCCCATCCTTAACACGCCACCCAATCCCATAGCTCCCCGGAAGTTCATTACAATGAGGTTTGACTTATGTTTAATTGGCGGAAACAATAGAGAAGATATTAAAAACTTAATTGAACTTGGTAATAAAGCAGTACAAGCAGATGAATGACAGATAATCCAAGGTAATATGCATTAGAGATTAATTAAAGCCTCTCTGTTTCTCCACGCCTGCTGAATTAGCTGTAATGACTTCAACAAGCTAAACACGGAAAAGTTACACGCCTCTAATTTTCATTGCGTTCATTATTCGGCATGTGTGCTCATCATCGACAACAAAAAAAGCACCCTCCCCCTCCCCTGCCGCCACGCGTCCCATCTGTACTCATCTGCTGAGAGTTAACGCCCCGTGCACTGCACATCTGTGACAGCCTCCTTCTCAGAACAGTTTAGCGCTGCCCTGCACCTAGGATAAGAACTAAGTCAGCATTCCAGACTGACACGTCCACCTGCCAGTCCTGTGGCGGCATTCCAAAGAGTCTAAGATGCCGAGGCATGTTGAAGAGAGAAATCAAAAGTATGGATGACGTCAAATAAGGAAAATCTTTTTTTAAAGACAAATTATGTTTTTACTTTCATGTTCTCAGATTTAAAGCAGAGAGAAAGAGAGAGTGAGTGAGAGAGAGAGAGAGAGAGAGAGAGAGAGAGAGAGAGAGAGAGAGAGAGCTGCTTTTGTATCAATGCTGGGAGCAAAGATAAAGGAGGGTTGTTCTGTTACATTTATTTTCCTGTATGTGTGGTGGGGGGAGGGGCGGAGTTGTGCTCATGCCCAGGTCAGAGGACAACTTGAGGGAGTTGGTTCTCTCCTTCCACCACGTGGGTCTCGGGGATCAAACTCAGAGGCTCTTGGTAGCAACTGCCTTTACCTGCTGAGCCGTCTCACTAGCCCAAAGACAGAATTTTGAGGTGCAGTGGGGGGAGGGGAGTTATTGTTGCAGCTGGAGAGGAGATACTTTGGTGAGTCTTGGCATCTAACGTTTATCTCATGCACATCTCTGTAAAAGTATATTCACTTATGGGGGATTTGTTGACGAAATCAGACCAAGAAGAGACTCATTTCTATTCTTAAAGTCATGCTCAGAGCTTTGCAAATTTTCCAAGCCCTCCAGAGCTGAGGGGCTCACAACCGGCTCACCCCACCCCACACCCACCCCCATTCCCTGTTCCCCTGGTGTAGGCAGGTCAGTGACAGAGGGTACAAGGGCTAAATTAGAGCCCGTGAACCCCTGTAATCCCTTACCTCTCAATCTAGTGTCATCTCAACCAGTGGAGGGCAAATGTTTCACAGCCCCCCCCACACACACACATCTAATTATATGTTTGTGGAATAGTGGAAGGGGGTCTTTATGGGAAATTGTCAGCTCCTGGGTGTTTCTCGAAAACTACAGACCGTCACCCCTTTCCTAAAGGCAATCCATTTGACAATGAGTCTTTCTTGTCTTTTCCCCTGACTGGGTGTCCTCCCATGAAATCTCCACCTCAAGGACTCCCCTGAGAAATTAGGATCCCCTAGCAGGAGCAAAGTAAATGCACACACTTTCTATACGTCCCCGTGTGGGTGGCTTCTGCAACCAGGACTAGAGTAACAAACATTGTGTCCTTTCAAACACTTCTGCCTTGCAGCTCATCCAGGTATTGCTAGAAGACAAGGCCACCGAGAGCACGGTTAAACTCAGCCTTCCCGTGGGACAAGAAGCCCTCATCACCCTCAGCAATGGACAGAGATTTGTAATTCACATATCTGACGTGCCCCAAAGCTCGGAAAATACTTACTGCAGAAAAATCAACACGAATATGCCAGGTGGTTTGTTGGAATAGGGCGTAAGGAGACAGGCTTGAATTCTTAAAATATGTATTAAATCCTAAAGTTTTGTATTGATCTGAGAGATTTTATGTATATAATAGATGAAGCACTTTATGTTTGTATGTATTTTGAGGAATTGCTTTTGATCAAACTATAAACTAATTTGGAGAATAATTCTTTTTTGCCTCTTGTTTTTCCTTTGGGTCCTGTTGGACAGTTCTCTTTGGGGACAGAACAGAAGACCAATGGAAGAGATCTCATTAGGAGTGAGGATTGGCTGTTTCCAGAGAAAGATACAGTTTGAGGACTACAAGTTGGTGTTTCTCTTTCCCTTTGTTGTGACCCAACCAAAACAGAACCTGTAGAAAACTCCATCAGGCAAGAGGAAGCTCACTGAGTTCTCCTGGTACTCCCTGGAATGACTAAATGCCTGGTTCATTACCCCAGTTTTTAAAACATGAGGTAGAACTGTAAATTCAAAAATGTCTATGACAGGCACCCATGTTCCTTTTGTGAAGCAGAATCTTAAAAGTTGTTGAAATTTTGTGTATCATTGCCATACAGATATATTTTCTGCAACTGATTATGATGTTTAAAATGAATTTTAGAATTCATGATTTGCATGGTTTCTGGAGTAAATGAAATGACTTGAGAAATTTTACTGGTCTCTTATTACATGCAAAATGATTTAAATTTCATTTAGTTCCACATATGAAGTGAATTAGATTTACCTACAAAATGAATTTAATTTTCCTATATGCGTAGTAATGTTAAGAAATAGGAACTGGGTCACACTAGAATTTTCTGTCCTTGGGGCTGGAGAGATGGCTCAGCAGGTGGGCATGCTTGCTGCTTTTTTAGAGGACCCAAGTTCTATTCCCAGCACCCATGTCAGACCGCTTGCAACCACGTGTAGCTCAAGTTCTGGGGATCCAGCACCCTCTTCTGGCTTCTACGTCCACTACACTCATGTGCGTATGTATAAGCACACAAGTTAAAATTTCAAATAAAGATTGTTTAAAAACATTCATCAAAGTAGTTTTAGAAGTAATCCTATTTTAGACCCCATTGTAACTACATCATCTCTGTTCTTAAGCTCTCTGGAAGCAGAAGTTCTTAGAGGCAAATTCAGACACCGATGCTCTCCTTGCTATCCAGAGGCTCTGCTTGTCTCTTGTTTGCTCACATGGAAACAGACAGTTGGCAGCTGAGTCATCAGGGATGGGGGTGGGGCTACAATAAGGACTGATGAGATGGCTGAGCAGGTAAAGGCACTGGCTGCCATGCCTGAGGGGCTGAGTTCAATCCCTGGAACCCACATGGTGGGAGAAGAGAACTGACCCCCACAAGTTCTCTTCTGACTACCCCAACATGCACAATTAATTAATGAATGTAATGTAAAAAATAATAATAAAATAAAATTTAAAAATAATAATGAACAGAGAAATTGAGGCGCTGGGGATGTGGCTGGTGATGCAGCACTTGTGTGGCATGTGCAAGATCCTGGGCTCTGTCTCCAGTACCGGAAATTAAATGACCAGTTACTAAGATGGGTTGTCCACATGATGGGAATTGGACTGGAGGTTCCCGGAGAGTGGGACCAAAAGGCACCCAGAAGGATTCCTAGAGACAGTAGCTAGGTTTGCCAAGCCACTAGGGCCACATGCCTTGGAGTGTGGGCAGAAGTACCCCACCGCAGAGGAGTGTCATAGTTTAACTCCCAGTGCGCCTTTCTGTGGAGCCAGGCAGGAGGTTGGGGGTGCCGTGCAGTCATATCAACCTCTCTCCACTGGCCTCATGCCTGCAGCTGTTCTCAGCAGGAGAGAACAGACAGACAGCCCTGTCCTTGTTGGTCTAGCAGGATGACACTTGGAGTCCAATTCGCCACTGGACACTAAGTGTGGGATACGGAAGTAAGTGTGGAATACGGAAGCCTATTGGTGAAATTATTAAGGCCACTCCACATAGATAAAAGGGAGGTTTATTTTGTGGGGTAACTTACAAATGAAGGGATAAGTAGGTTGCAGGGTCTGGGGAAGACGTAGCGCAGTCTGGTGGTGTTCTCTGGAGAACTCTGCTTGGTCTACCTCCAGCGTCCAGGGTCCAGGAACCAAGAGAGACTGCACATCCAGATCTTGGGTCTTCAGGGTCCTCTCTTGGCCCACATTGTAGGCGTGACAGTTACCGAAGCTTCAGTGGGGGTTGGAACTTCCAGATCAAAGCTGGAATGGCTACCCACTGCATCTCCCCCTTTTCTCTAAATAAGAAGGTTCTAACCTAATACAAGACTATATACAAAGGAATGGTTATCAAATATTATGCAGGAGTAGTGAGGGATGATGACTTAGATAAGATGGAACTACAATCAATGCGAACAATATCAAGCAAGAAACACATACTAAAATCCAGAGAAGTCTAGAGCGCAGTAAATGGATGTTACAAAGATCATTTCAAAAGGTGTCCTATCCTAAAGAACCTGAATCTAATACTTAATATGTTCTATCTAAGGTATTATATATACATATTAAGTTGTAGGCGTGACCATTACCGAAGCCTCAATGGGGGTTGGAACTTCCAGGTCAAAGCTGGAATGGCTACCCACTACAGAAGCCTCCTGCTGTTTGATCACACACAGAAGCAAGAAACCTCTCTATCTCACTCCTCAGTTTGGGGTTTTTACCCAAGGGCCAGAAATAATCTGCAGAGGAGGCTCAAAGCTTGTTCTCTGCCGTCTCTGTGCATTGCTTTGCAGCTGTAACGCCATGAACGACCCTCCAGTTCCGACACAGCCACCGTTCACTTAGCATTCCTCAAGGTCCATGGGTGGCTTGGGTGCTTTGGGTCTAAACCGGGCTTGGATCTCAGTCGTGGTCCCTAACAGGCTTGCTGGGGTCTGACTGGGCTGGGATGGCCTTGGCTGGGGTGACTTGACCGTCCCCTGGAGAGCTTCCAGCAAGCTAGCCTGTGCATATTCTCCATCCAGCGGGAGCTCTGGGGAGAGCAGAGAAAACACACAAGCGGAGTACCTTTGTTTTATACCTGTGCCATTGGCCCAAGTGAGTCATATTGCTGAGCTCAGAGCCAAAGAGAAAGCGGCATTAACGGAAGTGAGCACGGGGGTCGCCCACCCTCTGGAACTGCCACAGGTCATTCCACCACACACTTTATGGACTTCAAATCACTCCAACTAATGGCTGGACAATTTCCCCAATCGTCGTTAGGACAGCCTGAACTGCCGCTCAAGAATATCAGAAGAGAGGGAAGACCCTGAGTTTCTGCAGACCCTGTGTGTCTGCTGGGGGTTACTAAACTCAGGATGCAGCAAAAATACAGGCTCCCTAGGAATGCACACTAGCCACAGTACTTTCTTGAGCAATAATTGGAAATAGGAATAATGATGAGACCCTGCACAGACAGGAATCTCCCCCAAGGCACAGCGCCGTTTGTCAATGTGGAGCTTACAGAAAGAGAGACATATCACATCTCTCCCCGGGTTAATAATAGCTACACCCACAGACATCTTGGAACATAAATTTTCCCTCATGATGATAAGTTAGAAACCCACTAACATTCTGGCAGCAGACAGATTTCCCAGAAAGGGATATTTGATTTAAAATTTATGGCAATATGTTCCAAAATTAAGTATTTGTCATAGATTGATTCTTTTCCCAGGTACCATGAATAAATAAGCAAGCCTCTGGTCCAATGAAGCTTATGTGCCAGGTAAGGAAAGGCAGACAATGAATCAATAAACAAAGCCAGAGAACTTACTCGGTGGTAAGTGTTAGAGTTAAAATACCACAGAGGAGGCCAGCGGCGACAAGAGGCTTCCTGAAGGACACTGGAGCAGAGCCTCCGTTTGAAAACAGATGTGAGGAAGGTAAAAACAAAGGAAAGGCTGGGTTCTAGAAAGGAGGAAGAGTGGAATGGGGTGGGTAGCCCTGCCTTACAGTCCGGGGCCACCCTTGGAGTCAGGAGCTCCGAATTTAAAGTGATTCTTGGATATCAAATCAATATTGTTTTCTAAGGGAAAGAGCAGTAGAGCTCTTGTCCTCTACACACAAGAGCCTGCATTCAATCCCCAGTAAATAAAAATTCTAGGGCTAAGACACCTAGCTTACTTGGCACAATGTGATATCTGATATTACACTGTTATATGTGTGTGCAAGTGCCAAATACATTGACACATGCATTATAACACACACACACACACACACACACACACACACACACACCACAACACATTCTTTCTTAAAAGACTTCAATTGAATTGACAGAAGAATCCAGGGATTAATCAAAGCAGCTGAAGGCGGAGCATCTGTTTGCACCAATCCAGGTAAACCTGAGTTTCAGTCTTGATGACCTCAGGATAAACGGGGCAACTGTCCAAATGTCAGGACCCACCTGGGTGTGGAGGCTAAAAGCAGACCCTCCGCATACTCTGTTGGAACACCCTGCCTGTCTGAGGACAGGGGAATCGGATGTAAGCCTCTCTAACTCTGCTCCGAAGGAGACAAGGAAAGCCAATGGATCAGAGGAAAGGATGGGCTGGCTGTCCTGAGAAGTCTTGCAAAGCATCTGCACCAGAGCAGTTTTTAAGCAAAATTTGGAGACATAACATATATTCAATAAAATTCTTCTATTGAACACGTGCAACCAGTGAACTTTGGAACACATAAAATAGTTCATTACTACCATGATCTAATTTTAGAACATGTCCATTTCCCTGAAAAGAAACTCAAATGCACTGGCAATTGTTTATTGGTGAAATTATTAAGGCCACTCCACATAGTTAAAAGGGAGGTTTATTTAGTGGCATAACTTACAAATGAAGGGATAGGTAGGTTGCAGGGTCTGGGAAAGACATAACACAGTCCAGCGGTGTTCTCTCTGGAGAACTCTGCTCGGTCTACCTCCAGCATCCAAGGTCCAGGAACCAAGAGAGCAGGCACATCCGGATCTCGCGTCTTCAGGGTCCTCTCTTGGCCCCGCCTTGTAGGCGTGACAGTTATCGAAGCCTCAATGGGGGTTGGAACTTCCAGATAAAAAGGTTGGAATGGCTACCCACTACAACTGTTCCTTCTTTTCTTCCAGCCTCTCACAGCCATTCACTGACAAATACATTCCATTGTATGGATATATCTTTGTAGTTATCACACAATGATCATTTAAGT